GCTGTGGTGCTCAGTTTCTCACGTATCGCCTGTTCTGCCGGCCAATGAGAGTTTCGGACCCCTACAAATATCTCTTGGGCGCACTGTGAAGGATATTTTTTAATTCATGGTCATCTACATCATGGTCTTCCTTGCCTTCATGATCGGCATGCATGTTTAATTTGTATTCCTACTACTTGGGAGCTAAATACAACCCTGCTTTTACCACGTAAAAAAAAGTTACGATGACAATTATTATATTTAAGATTTACTTGTTAAAGGGATAGGTCACAAACAAACAAATAAATAAATAAAAATGTAAAATAAATGAATAAATCTATAATTTATTCCCCATCGTTTTGTTACAGATTAGCTGCTTTTACAAATTTCTCCTGTGAAACACAAAAGTAGATGTTTTGCAGAATGTTCAGGCTGCTCTTTTGTAGCTGTCAAGCTCAAAAAAAGACAAACACATGATAAAAGTACTATAAAATTAGTCTATTTGACTCAAAAAACATTCAAAGGTTTGGGGTCAGTTCTTTTTTTTCCCCCAAGAAATTAATTATTTTATTCAACAAGGACGCATTAAATTGCACAAATGTGACGGTAAACATATTTATGTTACAAACGATTTCTATTTCAGATAAATGTTGTGTATGAACTTTCTATTCATCAAAGAATCTTGCAAAGGAAAGTATTGCAGTTTCCACAAAAAATATCCGGCAGCACAACTGTTTTCAACACTGATAATAATAAGAAATGTTACAGCAAATCAGCATATTAGAATGATTTCTGAAGGATCATGTGACACTGAAGACTGAAATAATGGGTGCTGAAAATACAGCTTTGCATCACAGGAATAAATTACATTTTAAAATATATTCCAATAGAAAAACAGTTATTTTAAATTGTAATAATACTTCAAAATAATACTGTTTTTACTGTATTTTTCATCAAATAAACGCAGCCATGGTGAGCATAACAGTGACTAAAAACAGTACAAAAAATCTTACAGGCTCCAAACGTTTAAATGGTAATAAATTTGTGTGAGGAATAATGTGAGATTTAAGCCAAAAATCTTCCTCTCAGCTCTCAAATTAATGTCTTACATTTTGGTGTTTGAAAAGAGCAGCTCAGACAGTAGTTTTTGTGTTCCACCAATGAAAGTAAGTTTTGCATTTTACATTTCACATATATGTATCTATCTGTTGCAGGGTAGAGGAAAGCTTTAAAACGCTGTTCTGGTCCATCTTTGGTTTATCTGAGGTGATCTCTGTGGTCTTGAAGTATGATCATAAGCTCATTGAGAACATTGGTTCCCTTTCAGTCAGTCACGCACATCAGCTTTTCGCTTCGGAGCCGAGCCTTCTACAGGACGAATCGGTGTTGGTGTTACGGCGTGTCAGCGAGGGTTGCCATCCAGGCTGCTGAAACCTCGGCGGGCTGCAGCGTCCATTCTGTGGTCTAGCCGCGACCTCCCCTGGGCGCTTCAGCGCTCTCTAAAAGAGTATTTTTCCTTCTAAAAGAGCTATTTCTAAAAGAGCTTCACGAGCGACGGGCGTCTTTTTAAAGATGGCTTCCCGCTCGTGCGTTTCTGGATGTGGTTGCTTCCTGGCTGATCCCAATTCGTCAGTCACGACTGACGTAACGTCGAACGTGACTGACTGAAAGGGAACGTCTAGGTTACTTGTGTAACCCTCGTTCCCTGAAGGAGGGAACGGAGACGTTACGTCCCGTCGCCACAGTTGCTGGACCACCGCTGTACGGCCGGGGCGCGTAGTCTCGGCTCCTCAGCGAATAACTGATGTGCGTTTGCACGCGCTCTCCTTTTATACCCGCAATCCACCAATAGGAATAAGGGAAGACACAAGCAACCAATAGCATTGTTGAATGGGCTGAGATGTGGACTGCCACTGACCTGCCAGCAGTTTATATGTGTTTTTCCAAATAAAAGCCAAATGTTAACCATAAGTTAACATATTCCATGGTGTGCCATAGCCAAGCCACATATGGCTCTCAGTTGTGTGCTATCATCTGGGCCATATACCTCAAAAAAATTGTCATCCAAAAGAAAATTCCCTCCAATTCTAAATCCATGGCAAAACATATACGGTTAAAGTTTGGCCCATATGTGCTCAGCCATGCCATACCTAGGCCAAATGTGACAGCTATCAGCCACATTTGGCCCAAACGTTCTTGCTATCTGGGTAATGTACTTTTGCAAAAAATAAAAATATTCAAAAGGATCGTTTGTCATAAACATGGTTATATTTGTGTGTGTGAGAACAGGAGGACGCTGATGTAGAATGGAAGTTTGCTCGTGCAAAGCTGCGGCTCTCCTGTTTTGATGAAGGCAGCACTCTTCCACCCCCCTTTAATCTAATACCCAGCCCCAAATCCTTCTATTACATGGCTCAGCGCACCAAAGCATGCCTAGTGAGTTTATGCAAGGCCAGGGTTTGTAGCAACAGCAGCCAGCAGGATGTGGGAATGGCCTATTCACACTCTAAGGTGAGAGGTCAGATCAAATTGTTCAAATGTAGAAATCGCAGTTTGTAATTTTGATATCTTTTCAGCTGCATGGGTTTCGACCGTACCACGCACAAGAGGGATTCACGGTTAGAAATCCCATCAAACACCCCACAAGATATCAGGTATACTGATTAATTGTTTATCCAAACTTGTTAATGTACAGGAATCATCAGGCAAAACCTCATTCTAAACCTTCTTTCTCTCATAGAAACTCATGAAGCGTCTCATCAAGCGGTATGTCCTGAAAGCTCAAATTGACAGTGAAAGTGATGAGATCAATGAAGGTAAGACTCATTTATTCACCCGTTAGTGTCTCTTGTGTGATTTACTTAGGCCCTAAACAAATTTTTTTGATAGATGTTGATCTAGTATATGTCAAGCGATAAACTGTTCAAGCGTTAAAAATGGCTGTAACTGTGATTTTGGAGCCAAGTTTTACTTGAAACCAGTTAAACCCTTGTTTTCATGTGGCTTTTCTTCTCAGGTGAGTTGAAAGAAATCAAGCAGGACATTTCCAGCCTCCGCTATGAGCTCCTGGAGGAAAAGCACAGGCCACTGAAGAACTTGCTGAACTGATTCAGGAGTTTGGAGACAAACTCAGCAAAGGAACCAAGATAACATGAAAAATGAACTCTTGTGATTGTAGTTGAAAGTGTCCTAGGCCGAGTTAGAGCTGCTGAAATATTTAGTTTAGACACAAACTTTAAAGTCTCTTTATACTCTTAATCTGTTTTAGACATTGGTTTGTGAGGAATGATTTGTGGTTGCCTTTTGGGCAGTGCTTGAAGTGGAAAAAAAGAAGTGCCGGTACTCAACACTTTAAATAAGTACTTTTTAATTTTCATAATTCACAATGTAGGCTATGTGTAGTGCCACAATCAATCAATAATTAAATAAACGTTTTCCAAATAAGCACAAGTCAAGCTGCGATACCAAACAGGACCACAGGGAGACGCCAAAGACCACTAAACCTCCTGCCTTGACCTGGCTGGATACATTCAGAATCGCTAAACTTCTTACTACCGCATAACACCTCAGCCAGCCAGCGTCCATTATAAGCCAAATAAGCAATGAAAAGAATAATGTACTGACATCTGGACGTGAGTAATATAGTCAACCAAAATGTGCATGAGGAACTCCAGGACCTGGACAGAAATGCAATACCATCTCTCTCTCTCTCTCTCTCTCTCTCTCTTTTAAATCATGTATGATGAAGAAATATGAAATATGTTATTATATTTTGCCTAAAGAAAATGAAGCATTTAAAAAAAAAAAAAAAAAGACTGTTAAAGGTTTTACATTGTGACATGATTTCCATGACATTTAAACAAATTTCCCTTCCAAGTCCATAATGCAATAAAATAAAATATAATAGAAAATAATAAAATAATATATAAAATAATTTTAATTCCTCCAAAAAAGAAAAAACAATTAAATGCAAAATGATCCTAATGGAAGGCTTGGTTTTCTTTATGTAAAATTGAAGTGAATGAAAACAGCTACGTGTGTTACTGAATATTATGAACAGTGTTGGGGAAAGTTACTTTTAAAAGTAATGCATTACAATATTGCGTTACTCCATAAAAAAGTAACTAATTACGTTACTTAGTTACTTTTTATGGAAAGCCTCAGGCTGAAGGGAAAGTAGATTTACGTCCGTACAGTAGAACACAGAAGAAGAAATTTCAACACACGGGGACAGGAGAGCTATCAATCAATAAATTGAAAAAAAAAGAAGTAACTTGCGTTACTTATTTGAAAAAGTAACTCAGATATTCTCTTGTAAATTAAAAAGTAATGCGTTACTTTACTAGTTACTTGAAAAAAGTAATCTGATTACGTAACTCGCGTTACTTGTAATGAGTTACCCCCAACACTGATTATGACAATGTATTGTAAATAAAAGTGCCTGCTTGAACCTAAGTTATTAATAGTATTTTAGCTATTTTTCAATATTATTAGTATTTTTATAAACAAACATGTAAACTATTTCTTGCAGTTTTAAAACAAACACAAAAACCGTCAAGAGTCTGGGTCATATTTTAGCTAAAAGGAAAAGAAAGGAATTAAGGGTTATATTTTGCCTAAAGAAATTAAGAATTTTATTGTTATACCATTTTATGAAAAATAAGCTCATTTGAAAACTGAAATTGCCAAACAACAAATAAATGTATTACAGTAATAAAAGAGTGAAAATATTCTTTACTGTAAGCGAAAAAATTCAGAATTTGATTTGATTTCACTACCCCATATAATTATTTATCTTTTGTGTTGTTTATTTTTTATTATTTGTTTCATTACTTATTGTTACTATATTATTTTGTTATTTTTTTATTTTGCATCTATTTATGTGTGTTTTCACTAAATAAAGTATTTATAAATAAAAATAAAAATAAATAATTGTTCCACCCTTTTTATTTGACAGCAAGATCCTCCAATCACACAGCTCCAAATACACCCCATGCGTGGCGTTTTCAGGAAGTGATACTAAATGGAATTTCTGCCTTTCCCCCCACGTGAGCCTCCATCGAAGCACCACGCGCAGCCGGCTGCTAACGGTCAGTATATCACGTCACTGAGAAGCAGAGGCGGCCGAGCTCTGGACCACAACGTAACTGCCGTACGGACGCGGCGGAGCGGATAATTGTAGTCTGTGAGTACATTGCAGTAATGTCCGATAACGAAATTGCTTCGAGAAAACGGACCACGTGTTAAAAATAAGTTGAACTGCAGAAGGGTGGTTTCGCGCAAGCGGCGCGTGGCGTGGATGTTCTCGGGCTCGAGAGGGCCGTGCGCAGGGCTGCTTAGCCAGTTAGCTCGTCCAACTATAGTCGCGCTTTTCTCTTCTACTCACAATCAACCTCCTTTTAATCAAATAAAACTTCTGTCTTATACCCGGTCGGTCTTTTCGGATTTAAATTCTGAATGATCCACCCTGAAAACTGCTAATTCAAGCTCTTCGCGCTAGCTAGCTAAAGTTGGATTCTCTTTCTCAGCAGGTCCAGACAGCGCGAGGAAGATGGCGGACGACCCCAGCGCAGCGGACAGGAACGTGGAAATTTGGAAGATTAAGAAGTTGATCAAAAGCCTTGAGGCGGCTAGAGGGTGAGGATCCTCTAGATTTGTTTACAGGTGTTGAATGACAAACAGTAGCACCTCTGATGTGCGATTCGTTTTATTGTTTGGGGACCACATGCTAACCAGCTTGCTAACAGCTGTTGGAGAGAACAGCACAGTGGACGGAGAACGAGACCGCGCACTGTATAGGTCTTTATTTCGATAATAGTGTTGAGTGAAGGATAAAGAGCGGGAAATGTTATATGGTGTCGTTTGAAATGTGAAGCACCTTCCAGACGACGCCTTAAAGAAAGGTTGGTTGAGGCGACGTGTGTTAAATGAGTGAAACCATGCTAAATATGCTACATGTTTTGTTTCTCTTGTAGTATTTTTAAACGTCATATTAATATCACGGTGTAGTAACATTGTTGTAGTTGAATATTGTCTCATTGTTTAATGGCGTAATAAAACCAGTCGCCTTTGTTAAAGATAGAATTCACCCCAAAAATGAATTTTCTGTCTTTTTCTGACAGCCATGTTGATTTAAACCCTCTTTTTTCTTTTTCTTTCAGTGGCATTCCTTTTGTTCCCTCTTTATTTCTTTCTTTTTTTACAGTGAAACTGAATGGTTAAGCAGATTGACAGCCTCGGTCATCATTTTTTGGTTATGGAACAATGTAAATGAATTTAATGCTGACTCAAAAAATGTTTATAAACAGTTTAGTTGTATCATATATTGACTTGACACTTTAAAGAAAAGTCTCTTGAGCACCAAACCAGCATATTAGAAATTACAATGATTTCTGAAGGATCATGTGACATTGAAGACTGGAGTAATGGCTGCTGAATATTGAGCTTTTCATTACAGGAATAAGTTACAGTTTAAAATATATTTAATTAGAAAATACATTTTAAATCTGAAAATATTTCACAATATTACTGTTTTTACTGTGTTTTGATCAAATACATGCAGCCTTGGTGAGCATAAGAGACTTTTCAAAAACATTAAAAAAAAAAATTTAAACTTTTGAACGGTAGTGTATGTTAATGAAAGTCTCAGCCTGCTTTTATATTGCTGTTATATTGTTTTCTCCTCAGAAATGGCACCAGTATGATTTCCCTCATCATCCCACCCAAGGATCAGATCTCACGTGTTGCCAAGATGTTGGCCGACGAGTTCGGCACGGCTTCGAACATCAAGAGCAGAGTCAACAGACTCTCCGTGCTGGGAGCCATTACCTCAGTACAGCAGAGACTCAAACTCTACAACAAAGGTAAATGAGTGGGCTTAGCTTCATTTAAGGCTACGTCCACACGAAGCCAGAGCTTTCCCTATCCGATCTTTTTTTTCCCCCCTCGTCTCAAGAAATATCTGCGTCCACACAAAACTGATACAAAATGATGTAGTATACATGCCAGACCAGTATGTGGCGCTGTAATTCTGCCACAGAGATACACTAAAAATGGAGAAGACTTGGACTATGCGCATAACCCTTTGCGCGGTATACAAACGAACATGGAACAATACATTTATTAATCTGTGTTAATGTTAAAGTCCCCCTGTGGTGAAAATCAAGTTTTTTTTTTGTTGTTTATTTGTCTATGTGGTGTTTTTAATATGCTTTTAGACAAACCATGTGCCAATCCATTTATCAACACCATTGCTGAGTATCTTCTCCTTAAAACTGTAGTTTCCCAAAGACAGTCACAGAAACGTGGTTTGAAACGCCTTTTTTTTTTTTGCTACGTCACAAAATTCAATAACCAATCGCGTCATGGGATTCTATCCTTGGCATATCATTAACTGTGCTGCAAGGCAGAGGGTCTAGTAGTGAGAAGGCAGCCAGGTTAATCCGGTAACAGTTATATTTTTTCTGTAGATGTTTCGCTAACTGTTAATATTTCCCCCTATTTTCACGATGTCATGTGCTGTTAGCGCTTATTTATTTGTATTTAGAACCGCTAACTTGAATAATAACCTGCGGCAGCAGTGTAAAAGTAGCCCGGAGTCAGACGCACCTCTCCCGCATTGGCGTCCGTTCTTCACTCACATTTGCTCTCGGGCGTGAACTGGAATCACAAACTTGGCTGCATTCGAGTCTTCAAGGCATTTTGAAGACACAACATCGTCAAGTAAGTAACTTTAA